TGTCTGTCCTCTTATTGATGATAAAAAATAACCAATCAGCGTGCGAGAAATTTGTAAGTTATCGTAAAAAATATTTCTGATACATGTACAATAACTGTTCTCTATTGTTTGATTAGCTTACCACTCATGTTATTGTAATAAATAAACTAAACTAGTTCAAGAAGTCATTTCAAGACCAAGCACACCAAAATATTATATGTGAATTAGTTGGTGTTTGAATGACAGGGACCCCAACCTTAAACTCACCATGTATTGACCAAATTTAATCAATGTGACTATGGGCTTAATGGGGGAAAAAGAAAAAGGGACATGTGCACCATAATTGTTTTTTGGTTGTTTTCGTTCTTGTTTTAGTTATATAAAACAGCTTTTGAAAAACATTTCTTAGACTAAGTTATTAATTTTGAATAGAGCTACCCTAAGTTTACCTTGAATCAGGACAATAATATCCAGCAGGGCATGGCAAACATGATGTCTTTGAGGGTGAACTTATATGTCCTGGATCACACTTGGAACATGCTGCTTGACCTTGTATTGAATATGTTCCTTCTGTACAATTTACTGGTGGTTGTGCTGGATCTACACACTGTTGTCCAGCCGGACAAGTCTTACATACTGTTGCTCCTGCCTCACTGTAGTTTCCAAGGCCACATGGTGAACAACCAGCTTCACCATGTCTACTAAAATGACCGGCAGGACATAGTGTAGAAGCATCCTGATTAAGACAGCTATGCCCTGCTTCACAATCAGAGCATGATGTCTGTCCTGTAATGTTGGTATATGAGCCAACGGGGCAAGGAGTTGGTGCAGCCATTCCTTTACTAGGACATTTTGAACCAGTAGTGCAAGCAAAGCATGAAGATGATTTTGCTGTTGCATAGAAACCCTCAGAGCATGCCTGAGGAGAAAGACCATTCGGGCACTGATATCCAGCTGGGCAGATGCTACATGTGGAATTTCCTTGAGCACTGTAAAAGCCATCAGGACATTTCTCTGGTTTATAGGCCTGATTTTCACATTGCGATCCTTCTGGACAAATGTTACATTTCGTTTGACCAGTGCTGTTTGTATAGTATCCTGGGTCACATGGTCGAGGTGGTTCCCCTCTTACTGGACAATAATGGCCAGCTGGACATTTCTGGAAATATAGTCAACATAAACATATACATGAAACTAAAACTGTTTACTTGGAATTAAGGGGACAAAACCCTTCTGCAGATAGCAATCAAGAGAAAAAGTCAACAAAGAGTCTTGATTGCTATCAAGTAAGGTAGTTGCATTAAGTAGTGTTTAAAAAATGAGTAGGAGTGTTTTATCAGGTATAAAAGCACAAGGCGTAGCCGAGTGCTTTTATACCTGATAAAACACTATCTACGAGTTTTTTGAACTGCTTAAAACACTCATGAACAATTTATAAGATTTTGGTTCAACTGGTGCCACCATACATGTCACGAACATGGATTTTTATACTTCGATAGAGATTTGACGTCACGGGCATGCGCAACCAGATTCAATAGAAGCTCGCACACGTTGGATATTGCGTGCCAAGGCAAAGACAGGCACGTTAGTCAAAGATCATTAGGGTTGACTATGACCTTGATGAAGCTCTATGTCTTCATCTAAACTTGGATGTATACTTCATACCTGATGAAGTCATCCTCATAGTATTCGAGTGGTCTTTATATAAAGATCACATGTGTCTTTATATAAAGACACATGTGTCTTTATATAAAGACACATGTGTCTTTATATAAAATCACTTGAATACTAATGAAGAGGACTTTATCGGGTATAAAGGTTCATGCACGTGACGTGTATGGTGGCGGCAATTGGACCATAAGCTTATGAATTATTAATGAGTAATTTAAGTAGTATTTAAACTAAGGAGTCACAGAGTCAAACTACTTATTTTTGTATTATCACAATTTTAAAAATTCTGCAAAGGAGCTGGAATTCACTCTTTATTATATTTAATTGTAAGTCATCATGTCTGCAAATATAAATGTTTTTGTTGGGGGAAGGGGGGTTTAGGTTTTCTTAGACAGTATGTACAAAATGTATTTATTATGATTTGTTAATTTCTTAAACCAGTATTACTATACAGCGTGTACAGCAAAAAAAAACTGGTTAAAGGATTTGGTCAAAAGTAAAATACAGTATACTTTTATAACATACGCATTTGAGACTAACTGGTTTTATTGCCACTAAACATCATGTTTACAAAGTTATGATGATCAACCATGTAATATACTAACCATTTACCAACACCTTACCAGGGGTTTTATTAGGTTTTGAAATTATAGGAGAAGGTCATTAACTAGCCAGAGTCAGTCTAAGTGAACATTTTAAAAATTAAGCCATTTACCAGCCAGAACACCTTATTGTATAATGCACATCAATACTGATAATAGCTTAGTTTTCTTACCTCACAACCTCCTTCATCCATTCTTCCTGGACTTTGTGTATAATATCCTGAAGGGCATGGCTGCGAAGCATTTCGTCCACCAGGACAACTAAAAATAAAAGAACAAAATACATCATCAAATTACATGCACAACATTATAAAATGTGCTTACAAAAACCCATATCAAAATCTAAAAAACATTTATTAAGTTGTAATTTTGAGACACGTGATAAGAATGGCATAGTTTTTTGGGGTTTTTTTTTTTTCATATAAATTTATTTAGTTGATAGTACTGGAATGTTCTAGCAGATTGGGAATAGAAGTAAAACATATAGTTAAGCTGGCATTATTGAAGACATATATCAAATTGGAAGATTTTTTCCTTTTTTCTACTTTCAAATTTATTCAAGTTTGTGATAAGGTCTGATAACTTGTAGTAACGACTACAGTATTCTCTGATTGGCATATATTATATGGCGAAAATGGGAAACATTTAATCATACATGGGAATTATCAAGAGAATTGTATTAAAATTTAAATTTAAATATGCAAATTTACTTGCCTAGTATATTGGTACCCTATAAAATATCATAAATRTACTATACTAAAATAAATATTTTTGTGCATACACTAATGAAGCATTATCTTAAATATGGCCAAAAAAGGGACCAACTAAGTGAATTCATTAATGGGTGAGTAGTTATTGATAGGAGTTATAAGAATCATTTAGTTTCCAGGGTGCTGAATTTAGTCTGCAATTGAATTTTTTTCTAAGAGAAGATAATACCACCATCATCAAAAAAGTACCAGCTCAAGTTTTCGGAAGCCTATGACTTCTTGAAAAACCAACTTCTAAATTCTAATTCTATCTTTCGGCTTTCACTTAGTTTGGAGGCTAGCTCTGTTGTGATTGTCCCACACTGTAATAAAACAGCGAAAGCTTTGTAGATTTTAGATAGATTTTATCATGCATATGACAACAGAGCCAAGAAAATGGAATATTGGTTGACTTGTAAAAAAATATTGAAGGCTGATCATGAATGACTTTGACTTGCTACTGTTTTCATAATGTTATGCGCTGATCCAGACAAAGTCATTACAGGAAAATCAGGCAAAAGGCTACTGTAAAATCAARTAAAATCGTTTGGTACCTTTACATACTCTGACAGGGCTATTTCCCAATTTCCACGTTGCAACTTTTGTTTAGATCAAGGCAAAGCAATTACATCAGTGGCAAAAAACCATATTTCTTTTCACTGCACATTAACAGTGGAAAAGAACAAAAATCCTTATTATTGTCCTCAAAAATTGTCAACATAACATCTTTTGGTTTTGTAAATAAACTTTATAGATTTAGCAAGGGTGCTTAGTTTAGAATACAGATACATGAACATGGGATCTGTAGGCAAAGTTCCTCATAAAAGTAAGTTATGCAATTAGCTGACAATTGAATTATCTTTTACCCAAATGCCAGTCATAATTTTAACTGATTGAGGCACTGACATACTATAAATTTAAGTTCGAGCGTATGACGGATTAAATTTTAAGAATTATAGGTCCCTTTTAAAGCTCTCGGTAGTATTCGCATACATATATACATAAAATCAAATCTTCTCAGAGCACAAAAAAATTCGTGGTCTAACCAATTATACGGACACGGATCATTAATAATCTTCATAAGTTACCATGGTATGCACCATATGGACCTAACTTTCAAATGCAAAGAGTTATGTACGGTATATTAATAAAGTTTATGATCTAGGAACACTAAAATGACGGCAAAGAATCGCAAATAACTTTTATAGGTTTCATAAAAGAATCAACATAACTTTTTGACGTTTCTCTTGGTACTTACAAATAACCCGAAGGACATTGTACGCATCCCCAGTTGCTTCCGTTTGACACCAAGAACTGTCCTGCCGGACACTCAATATTTCCACTACACTGTGAGCCACACACTGAACAATCGCAAGGCCCTACACATTATTAGTATACAAAATTCGTTAGTTGGATGCTTGCTTAAAAGTAAAGTTTGAGATTTCGAGGTAAACATTCACATTTCTAAGTACAATATACGTCTTACCAGCAGCCGTGGTTCGAGTAGCCAAGCAAACAAGAAGCCATGAGATTATCCACAAGAAACCAAGAGCTGAAATATGCTTTCTCTTGAAATTAACCGGACGAAAAAAATCTTCCATGTGCAATATCTTAGCCAAGGCAGTATTTGCAACTTTTCAAGCGATTGTCGAACAATTGGCGGTTTAAATAGAATGTCAGCAGTGTATATTTGGCTCCATTCATGCACTGATCTCTAAAAAATCCTCATTCCTTCTCTTTCTCTGTTAAATAAAACCATTTAACTTTTTAGCTTCGTAGGTATTATTCCTTCAAATTGGCACATCTAGCGAGATCGTCTTTGTAAATATCGTGCTTTTGTAACTTTTCTTTGATTGAGGTCCAAAATTAAATTATTCCGAATCCTGTATGATAAATTACGTCATGATACCATGGTAACCGTGTTTGTTATTAATAAACTTTAGTGCATTCTATCTTCATTAATCAACATTAGACGACTTTTCTACCTATTTCTTAATGTTTTCTTTCAAACTTTCAGTATTTTGGTGCTTAAGAAGTTCCATTGAATTATTTTATCGATAAAGAACCAAAAAATGTGGGGGAAATCGAGAAAAGAGCGGCGGGAAAGGGATCAAAATATGCAATTCCTTTGTAACCAAGAAAACAAAATACTTAGACTATTTTCCCGGAAAAATTGAAAGTAACAATGAAATTCTGAAAACTGATGGCCAATATAATATAATATTTTTATTGATGGTCACAGATGAGTCTTCATTTCTCAGTCAACTTAGAATATCTTTTCTTCGCATTTTTTCTTTACTAGTTTCCATCTTTCTCTTAACCGTCAAAACAAGTATTTGGCGCGGAAAATACTAATTCTGGCATGTGTTACTCTGCATGAGAGAGAACAAATATACGTGGACGCGCTCCAACGGGTAGTCGTCTCAGCTGCGAATCCATGAAACTTTGAATAGATTTTGCTTTTTTCCCTGTATCTTCCTGCTAAGCGACTTATGGATTAAGACGATTGGATGTTTGCACTGTAGTTGTCTGCATTTGCAATAATTTTGCTTGCACTATCGTAGGCCTTTTAGCATTATGGTCTAGTACTGTATGAATTACTGATTGGAATTGGCTAATTTGAAGCATGTTTAATTTCTTTAATGTTACTGGTGCTGTTGGTTAGTTAGCAGAGTGGGGGTAGGATTAGTTGGGGTGTGGTGCTGGATAAGAAAAGGAGGACGTTATTTTTTGCAAGTCCAATAAGGAAATCCAGAAGTCGGCAAACTGAGCAAGTTGAAGCTTTGCACCATCACGTGCCGGCGCCCATAATACAGTTTGGACTGCCTGTGGTTATATAGCAAAACAATAAAATCCCTTTGCTCTCAGGAATGGAATTCTTTCTCATGTAAAACAATTGTATTGTTCTTGCCATCTAACATGGCTACCTTCACGTGATGGTGCAAAACCTCTTTAAAGGGAATTCCCGAAGTGGGCAAACTGGTTATTGGGGGAGTGCTGTGGTAGTGATCAAATTTGAAGTGTACCCATAGATCGTACAGCTGGTTCAAGACTGAACGTTTAGCCAATGATTGTATAATGTGTTAACAAGCGTTTTGTAGGTTATTAATATCGAGACTTTAAAATATTAACAAATATATCCTCTCAAGCTGATCCGAGAGAAAATATTAGCCAATCAGAATTGAGAAAGTTTGCCAGCTGAGGCGTTAGACCTCTTGAAATTATTGATTTCCAGGCCACAAAATGAAAAAAAAAAAACGTTGCTAGAGTGCAAACAATATAACCGTGAAACTTTAGTAATACTAAATAGCACAATTTCATGCAAATTCCATTGTTTTCCATTGTTTAATGAGCACTATTTTGTACTATTTAGTAATTAGTGTTTCACGGATTAATTTTTAGCACTCTAACACAATAACTGAGTCTTATATTTTATTGCAATGGCGGACAGGTTTTTATTTTTCGCTTGTCAATTTTCACAGTATTTATGACACCTTCATTTTGCAGTGACGTCATTTCTACGTCACTATTTCAGATAGATATTTCAGATATCTGGTCTTAGTGTTGAATAGTAGAATCATCTTTAACGTCCTTTACACTTCTCTTTAGCTTTGGAAAGCTTAGTGAAGGATGAATAGTCCCATCTTGAAATGTAACCGTGCCTGTGCATCGAAGCGAGAAAGCCGTTTCAAGGTTGAAGGAAAAATTGGGTCGAGTTGTTATTGCAATGCATTGTGGGGCCGCTTTTAGGGGTGATATAGACGCCATCTTGAAAATATGGCTATTTGCAAGGTTAGTTTTAGCTCCTTCGCTGTTGTTCTTTGGCTAATTATCGGCCATCCCCAACATCCTCCCAGGGTGTTTTATGGTTAAGCAGTTGAGAGGGGTTCCATGTTGAAATCTTAAAACTTAAAGCCGACGGAGCTATCTATTGACCATGTAGCTGGCGGATTAACCCTACCTGCTTGTAAAGCGGGCCTAAGATGCAGTATTTACAAAATCTTCTGATTAGTCTTCAGCATAGCATTTGTTCTAAATCAGCTGTATTTGACGAATGAGACGAAAAAGGGATCTGTAGAATTCGGAGCTTAAATAATATACCACTATTTTGAAACAACAGAGACATAATCGTAACAACTAATATCTATCTTATACACCCAATTCAAGAAACGTTGTCATCGCCAAAGGCGATAGGCGATAAGTCATTCCGACATGGAAATGGTTTCGTTGAATACAAAGAACATCGAATCAGTCTCAGCACGAAGGTCCATACTCTTGACGAGAACAAGAAGAAGAAACACAAGTCATTCCAGCTATTCTTGGATCTTGGAATGACATATATCATATCGCTTTTCGCCTATCGCCTATTGCCTATTGCCTTTGGGGATGACAACGTTTTTTGAATTAGGTGTACATTCAGAATATGATTGTGTGTTGGTTTTATTTAGTTTAGTTATGTTTTGTCAACACAGTATCTGTTTAGAAATAATTTATATCTAAAAGAGCTTTCGGGTCCTGTGAATATAGATTCAACGAGCTCTTATTAAACATTATGAAACATCCTTTTCTTGACGATGTGTCAGATACCCAAAATCTTGGAACTAAATCATTTCTAAAATTAAAGATACTGTGTTGTCGAAACATATTTAAACCAACTTATAATCTATAAAGTTCAAATGGTTCTGTGGTCATATTAAATTAAAACCCTTTTATACAGCTGTTTCAAAAAAGGTTGAAGGGGCGAATGGCTATTTGCATTGTGATTGGCGGCCTTCAACTTTTTTTTGGAATAGCTGAATTTTTTATCTTCCATTCAGTGATTCATTTCGAAATCGGTCTCCAAAAATGCAAATGATGAGTCTAAAGCATTCAAGATATTAAGAGCATGCAAGGTTTGAGATGTTATCCTGTTTGGTATTAATCTTAAATATGTAAGTATATTTTTCAGTAGAAAATTCGATCTCAAGGCCGGATAAAAGAATTTGTCCAAACAGCGAAGAATTGAGTTACAAGTAAAATCATATGACTACAAAACAGTTTCTTTTGAATAAATCAATAACACTTCTTCAGGGATCTCAGGAGAGGTTTTCGATTCCACTTCCGTGTTTCGAAAGGTTTTAAAAACTGAGCGAGAAAGCATGGAACTTGATAAATTATTCAAAATTCCATGATAACAATTGAAGTATTGCTTAAATTCTTCTCGGAAATTTTCATGGCAAATTGTGTAAGCCACAGGGTTTGTTGCACTATTAGCGAATAATATGATATTGGTGACGGCAACCATGTCCCAGAAATGTTTATACGAATCCCCGTTTCCAAAGTCTAACCATATCCACATGATATTATTGGGAAGTACACACAATGCAAACAGCAGTGTTACTATAATGAGCATGCGCACTACCTTACGAGCATCATCTTGTTGAGCTCGGCAAAGTGCAACGTTAATTTGAGGGCCAATGCATTTCTTAAGTTCAATGCCTATTTTGACATAGGCCACGCCAATCACAAGCAACGGGAGAAAATATTGGAAAATAAAGAGGCATAGTGTGTATGCCTTTCTGTATTCCATAGCCGTCCAGTTTTCGGTACACTGAGTTCCATCGAGGTACAGTACTGATATGTACGGTACTGTTAGCCCTGATGAAATGATCCATATCAAAATAATCACAATTTTAGCATTAGATTTTGTCATTTGTCTTCTTAGCGGATAAACTATGGCCCAAAATCGGTTCAAACTTACAGCTGTCAAAGTGAAGATTGAGGCAAAAATGCACATGGTTTGTAAAGGATAAAGAATCTTGCACATAAAATACCCATATGGCCAATTGTAGCTGTTCTCTTGCACTGGGATATCAAACGGAATGCATATGCAAGTGATTGCCAGGTCTGCAATTGCCAGATTTAGAATGAAATAGTTGGTGACAGTTCGCATGCGACGTCTTCTTGCAATGACAATACAAACCAGAGCGTTTCCAACCATGCTGATCACAAATATTAGGGCATACAGAGATAACTTCACAATCTTAAAAGTCAATGATTCGCCAGTGTTGGAGTCAATTGCTGATTGTTCCACCAAGCTTTGGTTTGGCAGTGAAGAATTATTAGACATTTTTTGAGAAATCTTGAGACTGTGGGAAAAGTCTTGTCGATGCGATACAAAGTTCTTCTTTTGACAATTGAACGCTTTCTTAGCTTTTTAAAGGGGCGTACTCAAGTTTTCTTCTTAAAATCTCTACTCTTGATAATAACCGTAAGTGTCTCTTTCATACAGCAACCGAGTCGAGATATGAAACTGAAGATCGTCTCCTTATGTCGTCTCACCACTCGATTCAGTACCTGGATCAGAGTTAATTATGAACAACCATTAGTAAGCCAGCTAGAATTGAAGCAATTTACTATTACATTATTTTAGTCCAAATAATTCACTTTCATTACCAAGTAAAAAGAATGCGATTTCAGTAATCAAAGGTGCGCAATAAACCAGTGATGTGGTCAGAAATATTACGTTGGTGACAGCAGAAGATATGAATAAATAATCATGATTACTAATAAAAGCACCACTTTAAAATGTGTGTAATTTTGGAATTCATTTCAGTTGCTTAGTTACGGACAACGCTTTAAAATGTTTATTTTCCAATTTGAAGATGATGCTTTTGGCTCATATTATGCTTATGCCTTGAAATCAATTTAAAACTTTCGCTCACTTTTATAAAATGTGTGTGATTTTGAAAGATGATGCTTTCGCCTCATATGCCCTGCAATCAATTTAAAACACTCGCACGCTCTTATAAAATGTGATTTTGAAATTCATTCCAGTTGCTTAGGTACGGCCAAGGCTTTAAAACGTTTATTTTCCAATAAGATGAAGATGATGTTTTTGGCCTGTATTATGCTTATCCCTTAAACCTTACAGGACCCAATCGTATAGATAATAATTTTAACAAAAGTTTACTTAACCATCGTGGTTTCCCGTATCCCCCCAAAAATTTATTAGTAAAGCAAATTAAATTAACCTGGCAAAATTAAATTTAATTATTTTTCTCGGTTTAATTGAATTCAAAACATTTGCCGCCATTTAAATTTTTGTTTTGGCTTTTCGGTACCTGCCTACTCTAAATTAACGGTACTCTTTTGCAAAAAGGGGAAAATGCCGGCAAACTGAAATGAACTGAAAAAAGGGATTGATTCTGCATTCATTAAACCACAATAATACCGTGTTATTTATTTTATTTTCTCGAGAACTGATAGATATTCTTACTGTTTGTATTTCTAAGTAAAACAGCTGTGGGATACGAATGTTTGAGCGGTTCTATACAATTTGGTTAATCTTGAAAGTGGAAAAATTTTAAAACTGCCCTTGACTGTTGTCTAAGATATATGTTACTGATTGTTTTAAAAAAGGCTGCCAGTGGCTTAAGCAAAGCTGACCAAAAAATGTCAACAAAGCTGCAAGCCGGTCAGAAACAAAATTGATTGAAATCGATAAATTAAGTAGATGTATTCGTCGTACTGTATTGAATAGTGGAGTAGAAATTGATATTACCCGGCCATAGTGCGAGATGATTTTTCTTCAGTGAGAAACGTCTTTCAAGTGGAGGAACACTTATAAGTAATAACGTTACCAAAATTAAACGTGATTGAATTGAAACATATTTGCTTAAGACTGATATTCAATTATTTGAACTGCTTTTTATGGATAGATACATTTCGAAATGCGTAATATAGCGATAGGGCTTAGGTTTATTGCTTTTTGCGTCTCCGTGGCGAGGAAAACTGATCTCAGATTTCAAGCTGAGAAAATTAGCAATGAATTTTAATGATAAATACAATAGTATATGTTTACAATAGTATACATATGTATGTTTTTTAAAGTTCTGAGAAGGTAATTTTTACTATAGCGAAAATTCATAGTTTTTAAGGCGTTATTGATTTGTTTAGAATCATGTACTGGTGTTTTTTCGTTGTCGTCGTTGCTGTTGGGTTTTTGTTGTTTTTGATTTTGTAGAAGGTTTGTTTTAATTTTCTTTTCTTTTTTTTTTTTTTTTT